CTATGAACAGTTGAGTGAATTGTTATTTAAAAGGATAGGAAGATTGGAGGGGAAGCAGATTTGGTGCAGCATGAGGACCAAGAGGTGCTGATGAAATGTACAGATGGAGATGTTAGCTTGGCAAATGGACGTGAAATGCTTTGGTGAAAGGTGGGCAAAGATAAGCTCTTTCAACAAGTGCATCTTCATACTTTCCTGTGCTGAAAGACTTCTAGGCTGGTCAGTCCCTTTTTCAGACCAAGAGATCAAAGACCAAGTCGGTGATGACCGCAAGAGAACAGGATGGGATGCCCCCTGGGAGTACAGGAAATGGACAATCTAGATTCCAGTCCAAGATGCCAACTTGCTCATTGTCTAGCCATCTATGGAGACAACAGAAATAAGAGTGATTGTTCCAAGTACTCAGTGAATCCATAGCTATTGCATTAGGTGTGAATATGTAAGTTGGAGGGAAAAGATGGACATGTGCATAGGCTGGTAGGTGGCTTTGTCAAGATTACCATGGCAGCTCTCGGTCACTCCTATTCCACCAGGGTCACAGGAAATAGTATGACATGTGCTCTGTGGATCTTTGGAGGTACAGGTTGTCTCAAGACCCTTTCCGAGAAATTAGGAGTCCAAACTATTTCATAATAACAGCAGTGGTTTGGCTTTTTCCTCTGTGTTGATTTGCACTGAAATCAAAAGCAATGGAGTGTTAACAGCCAGTGCCTTAGCATCAATCAAGGCTCCTTTGCAACGAGTCATTATATTCTGCATGGCCACATTGTCTCATTTAAAAACAAAAAAGCCAGCTTTACTTGAGAATGTAGTAGGAGAAGCAGTAAGACTTCATTTACTACATTTCAATTCTCACATGCACATCTTTAATATTTTGCTGAATACTGAAATACAATATTGCCATAAGAAAAATACTACTGTGATTGATTCCAGGGGTGGCCAGGTAAGCTCTTTTCGTGGAAGTTCACTTTGATTGGAAAGAATAGCTGACAGATGAGCCAGAGTTACTCAGGTGTATTTGAAAGACATTTTCTCAAAAATGGATAAAGTAGGTTTCTCGCTTCAAGGAAAGTAACAGTATTTGTTGTCAATAAAATTGAGCTTACAAATGAAAATTGGGAAAGTTTTTTAATTGCCATTGTGAACTTGAGACCCTTCAACAGTTGAAAAATTTTTAATGGGATTGGTGGTGATATTAATGAATCTGATTCTTTTATATTATGTGTGTAATGATTCAACATCTGGATGATTGGAAGAACCAGTGAACCAATATTTTCCAAGGGACCAGTGCATCATTGCATTAGAAAACCACACACAGGTAAAATATCCTTTCAAAGTGCAGGAGAACACAATGGAGTTTAATGTAGCGGTATGAAAATTTCATTGATATGGTCTCAGATTCCATGTTGCAAGTAACCTTCAAGAAGCCCTCACTTGGTTGTGAGGGGGAAAGGGAAAAAAAAACAAGGGAGAGAATTAAATTACAGCAGATGGGATAGAGAGAGAAGATGGGAGAGGAGGGGAGGGGAGGGGGGATAGTAGAGGATAGGAAAGGTAGCAGAATACAACAGTTACTAATATGGCATTATGTAAAAATGTGGATGTGTAACCGAAGTGATTCTGCAATCTGTATACAGGGTAAAAATGGGAGTTCATAACCCACTTGAATCTAAAGTATGAAATATGATATGTCAAGAGCTATGTAAAGTTTTGAACAACCAATAAAAAAAAAAGAAGCCCTCACTTGTCAAATTTTGATGTGGCATCAACGAAGAATGTCTACTTTTTTGAAAAAAGGACCTTTAAACTCCCTTTTCTCTCAACTGCACGTCTGTGTGATGTATATAATCATATACTTCAAAACAAAAATTTGACAAGATTAGGTACAGACATTCATAAGTCTCTATAAAGCCAGACGTCAAAGAGATTTGCAAAACTACTTTTTAGAATGCCACTCCCCTATTCTTCATCTTGGAAATTACAATTTATTTTTTTCCACAAAAATGCTATTCATGTGAACAACTCATAGATTTTAATCTCCATCTTTAGAGTTATAAATATATAATTCATTTAAGTATTTAAACATTTCTCAGTTTTAATTTCAAATGTAGTAAATATTGATACATAGACCCCACACAGACACAAATTCTTTGGAGCCCTCAATAACTTTTAAATATTTAAATGGGTCCTCAGACCTAAAATATATATATATATATTCTGCAGGGAAGGAAATGAGTGTATTGGGTGAGAGGCTGCAGAGAGGGAACGAAGCTGTGACATAGGAAATGTTCCCTTTGCCACAGTTTCCCAACTTGGGAGTTGCAACCATTTGGACGGTCCCAAGGTAGCCCTTTGTGAGTCATGTGCACTAAGGGGCTCTGTTTGACATCCTTTATTCAGTTCTTTTTCAGTGTGCCTTTTTGAAAAACACATTTAAGAAAGGCTTGATGTTTTTGGCAACAAAACCATGACCCAGAAACCAGTGGCATTTGTTGGCCTCTCAGCATAGTGGCCGGGGAAGCAAGAAGGAGTGATGAGCATCACCCTGTCCTCGTCCATCACGGGACTCTCTCAGCCATGGGTTTTCCAGTGATGCCAACCCTTGCTTCTCCAGGAGACTGCTGGCCACATGCCAAGTGGTGCCACCTTGCCACCTCCTGCTGCCTTTTTATTATTTTATAGGTTAGTCTCCCCTATTATTGGATAGTTGAGTGATTTAGATTGGAGACATTTAAATATTTTTAAAGAGCATTCAGAATCTAAATTCTAATGCCTGGGCTTCAGGAGGGTTGTATGGTCCTGGCTAAACGTTTGACTGGGTGACGGCAGGCAAGACATGAGCACAGCCTTTGCCTGAGACTCCCACCACAAAAGAAAGGTAGAGCTCCCAGAGTGTTTGATGGGTGATGGCACTACCAGAAACAAAGCCCTGTCAAGAGCCACATCCGTGTAGAGAGTATGGCTTTCAGCTAACAAACAAAAATGGCACATAATTATTATCTCCAAGTCAACTGTTTGTGTTTTGGTTTTGGTGTTTGTTTGTTTGTTTGTTTTTAACTTTCAGCCCCTTTCTTATCAATATGGCAGAGAAATGAAACCTCAGGAATTCCTGGCCAGCACCCCATCCCCATCCCACCAAACATTTTATAGTGGGGAAGGAGAGGACTATTCACTCTGGTCAGCCATCCACAGGAGTGGCTTCTGAGATACTCTTCATTTTCTCATTTCTTCCCATGATGGCCGCATCCTGGGTCATGCTGCCCTGAGGTCCTGCATGCCTCTCTTCTCAAAGAAAAGCTTCTATGGGGTGAGGAAATTCTTTAACCTCCCTGTTTCTCCCAGGACAGATCCTCCTTCCTCCTCCTGCCCCAACCCTTAGGGCCCGGGCTTTGTGGGAAGCTTCAGGTAGGCAGGAAAAGACCTTGGAGGTAACTTCTACTTCCTCCCCACCACAAACTGCTCCAGTCAAGGAAGAACAGAGTTGAATAAAGGAAGAATTAGTATCATAAATACTTGAATGCAGAAGGGGTGTCAATTCAGAGAGGAAAAAATTAAAATCCAAGCTATCATCCTGCCATATTCCTTCCTCAGTAGATCTAGGTTCTCATAAATACGATTTCTTTCCCGCACAGACCCCAGTCCCCATGTCTACACATCTAGCCCTGGAATAAAGAAAGGGCCTGCTCTATGCTTCCCTCCCTGTTGGGATTTCCTGGATTCCCTTCTCCAGAGGCCCTAGAGATGGCAGCCAAGTCCGTGTGCCTGGTGAACACCCTTCTTGGTCTGTCTGCTCTTAGAGATGCCTGTCTGTCTCTGGCTCCACCAGGACTCAGACAAGCTCTTACTGAAAGCCTCCTCAGGTGTCCATAAATTGAGAATATAGTCCTGAAAGGTCTCCCTGCTCTATCCTCCTGCCCCACCTCATTAGACTGTAACCACACTGTCCATCTTTCTATCTTTTGTCCACACCATGCCCTCCCCTGCTCCAGGGTCACCCTCATGTGCCTTTCTGCAGAGGGGCTATCCTTAACCACAAGGAGGGAGGGGACTCCTGGTGTCTTCTCCGTTATCACCTTTCATTGCCTTCATAGCATTAATCAAAACTCTCTACTGACCTAGCTTGGGTTCCTCTGTCCCTTTGCTTGCTAACTCTCTGTCTCTCAGAACATGGACATCATGAGGGCCAGGCGTGGCTTGCCCTGTTCACACCGTATTTTCAGTTTCCAGAATAGCATGTACGCATAGTAGAAACTCAATATATACCTGTGAATGAATGAGTGAATGGGTTGGAGGAAATCCTTCTCCGATCCTGTCTATTCCAAAGACAAGAAAATACTGCTTTTACACAAAGAAAAAGGCTTTATCCTCTGACAACCCTTCGAGATCTCCAAGGCTCTGGAAACCAAAGACAAGGAAAGGAAGTCCTTATCAGTAATGACGAAGTATGCTTTTCATCCTGTAAAAACCTTCAGCTGAAGGGGAAAGGGGTGATGGCTGTTGATTTTATTGCGTGAAATGCAGAAGATGGGGTGACAGGTGGACGGCTGGGAAAACAAAGGGAAAGAGGAAAATGTACAAAGGCGAAAGCCAGACTAACTTCTCTGCAGGTTGTCCCCCACACCTGGATGGGAGGCATTCTGACTGGTGACTCCTGTGGGCCCTGCTGATGTCAGGGTGGAAAACTGCCTGCCTTTCACACAGGGCTTGGCGTCAGCTCAATTAGCAGGCCAGCCTGATTGCTGCTCCTGGCCTCCTGTCTAAACAGGACCCGGCCTTCAGGCAACCGCAGGGGCGGGGGTGTCTGTGAATGGCAGCCTAATCCCGCCAGGCCAAGGATGGGGGAGGACCATACTGCTTCTTAAGCTCCAGCAATTCAAGCTGAGGCTAGAAAGCCAGACAGGCAGCCACCCCTCGGGATCTCCACCTGTCCTTCCAGGCTGGGAAGAAGAGCCCAGCCTGCCGCCCGAGCTCAGGAGCCCAGCCACCCCTGCCCTGCCAGCATGGCCAACCAGCTGACCGAGGAGCAAATTGCCGAGTTCAAGGAAGCCTTCTCTCTGTTTGACAAGGACGGGGATGGCTGCATTACCACCCAGGAGCTGGGCACCGTCATGCGGTCCCTGGGCCAGAACCCCACAGAGGCTGAGCTCCAGGGCATGGTGAACGAGATCGACCGGGATGGAAATGGCACGGTGGACTTCCCCGAGTTCCTGGGCATGATGGCCAGGAAGATGAAAGACACGGACAGCGAGGAGGAGATCCGGGAGGCCTTCCGCGTGTTCGACAAGGACGGCAACGGCTATGTCAGCGCAGCCGAGCTGAGGCACGTGATGACCAGACTGGGGGAGAAGCTGAGCGATGAGGAGGTGGAGGAGATGATTCGGGCGGCAGACACGGACGGAGATGGGCAAGTGAACTACGAGGAGTTTGTGCGCATGCTGGTGTCCAAGTGAGGGGCTCCTGGGCTGCCCACCTGGCTGGGCAGAGGCCACCTCTTACTGCAGCAAGAACCTCACTCAGGCCTTAAGCTTGAGTCCCCAGCTTAAGCTCCGTCCCCAGCTTCCTCTGGGCAATGCTGCTTTGGGGAAAAGTGGATTCCATCGACCTTTCTGCACCTCCTTTTCTGCCAACTGCTCACCTGCTCGCACAGCAGGATGCAGAACACCCTCAAGCCAAGCAAAGCATAAAATGCTGCCGCCACTCAGGAGCAGAAGCAGAAAAACCTGCCTCTGCACCAAAGTGAACCAAAGGACCAGTAAATGTTTCCTGACTCTGCCATCTGCCAGGATGGGCCTGGTGACATCTTAGAGCTACCTGTTAGGGCAGGATCCCTAACAGGTGTCCAACACGGGGACCGGGGGGATTATAGCCCTCAGTCCATGCCAGAATTCCTGGAACATCTTGGACAGAAGACTTCATCTGCTGTTGGATTGGGGAGACGTCTTGGCCATGGATTGAAGAGTGGTGACGGGGACTTGGATGACTGAGGCCCAGCCTTCTGAAAAACATCACTGCCCTTCCACAAAAACGGCACTTGCTTGTTCCATTCTGTCTTCGCCAAACTTCTGTGATTCGTCTTTTGAAGCTGGGAGTAAAACTGGGGTCAGTTGTCACATGCTTACAATTCACCTGGAAAGAGGGAAATTTGACTGAAAGGGAGAGGGAAGCTGCAGGCAAATAAATACGATGTCATGTTCCTATTTGGTTTCCTTTTTTCTTCCAGTTGAAATGATCCTTGGTAAGTCCAGGACATAAGCCATAAAATTTGTGCTTTTTTGGAAATGCAATGAATTCCTGTACTGACAGGTGTAGTAAAAAGAGAGAAGCCTAGATATGGTGTATCTTGAATATTTACTCCCCCCGCCCACTGCCAAAATGGGGATTGAATCCAGGGGCACTCCACCACTGAGCTATATCCTCAGTTCTTTTAATTTTGGGACAGGGTCTCACTAAGTTGCCCAGGCTGGCCTTGAACTTGTGATCCTCCTGCCCTGGCCTCCAGAGTCATTGGGGTTGCAGGTATGTGATCTTTTGAAAAATACTCACTTTCAATAGAGTGGATAAGTTGGTAGAAATGAGCAGTTAGAAACTCAGGTAGAGCTCCTAGAAGCCTGATGGATCACAGCAGGAAGGAGCTTCTCCTGCCGTCACTGTGGCTGTGGGAAAGCACCCATGGTTAGAAGGCGGCAAGGGGTAGGGTAGGGGTGCTAACTGAGACAGGTCTCCAACACACATGGTGGGAAAGCTCTCAAAGAGGTCCATCCTGTCCACACCAGCCCCGCCCAGAAATAGGATCAGATCATCCAGAGATGTCACTTTAGTTCCAAAGGGAGTGGACACTTACCTGGGATCATAAGAAATGATCAATTTTGGATAAGTCCTTTCTCTCCCAAACCTCCCACCTCTCCCCAACTTCACCCCTTCTTCCTTTGTTCAAAATCAAAGAACCTGAATTCTGGCACTGAACAGCCTGAAATTCCAATGCTGGCCTTGCTATCAAAATGTGTGGCTGTGTCCCCCCCCCCCCCCATGATGACAGGCCCCTCATGCAGTCCTTCCTGAACGTGAGGATTTGGTCTGCATAGTAACCCACAACCAGAGAGCAGCTGCTTCTCTTACAAATGAGGAAGCTGAGACATAATGAACTAAAAATCAGTGCCATGTCCCACAGCTGGTGAGTAAATGTCAGAGGGAGCTGGGATTTGAATGCAAACCTGTGCCCTGACCACTGTGCTACCCAGCCACTCATGCCTTGGCCTGGGCCTCCACTGTGATGATTGCAAGAATACTTCTCTCTAGCATTTGTGAAGATGAGGATTGGTATTCTTGACATGCAGTAGGTGGTTAATAAATGACAATTACTACCACCATTAATGCTAAGGCCCCTTCCCATATTGGCACTCTCTGAGGCTTATAGTGTTCTTCCAGAGAAATGCAGGATCAGACTCTCTCATGACACTTTGGGGCTTGGTTTCTGAGGATTCACTGGATAGTAGGTTCTCCGGTGAAAACCAGCCCTGGTACAGGTGATTGTAAATCCTCCTGCCAGGGGAACAGAACTTTTAGGCGTGGCCAGCACACTAACCTTCCTGACACCTTCAAGAGTCAGGGCTGGTTGTAGATCTTCTGTAAGAGAGGTAGTAGAGAGCCCAGAGGTCACTGGATAGTGGCTCCCTTGGGGGTGGGACAGCAGAAGAGCCAAGGGAAGGTTTGAATGTGAACTACAGAGCCATCTGCTAAAAGGAACAGGACATCCCCTCTAGGAGCAAGCACAACTCACATCTCAGCATCTTCATCTCCTAAATTCCTACAGTAACTACAGAAACAGAGGTCTCCCATGGTCTCTCTAGCCCCTGTAGAGGACCTGGCTGGAGGTGCGGCTTGAATCCCCTTCTTTCAAGGTATAGCTTAAAGAAGCCCTTCTAAGCATCAGGACCCACTCACTGCCAAAGCTTTGGCTAGAAGGGGATGAGGATATAAAATATAAAAGTGTTTTGTTGTTGTTTCTTTTTCTTTTTTTTTGGTCTCCCTCCCAACCTCCCTGCAATTTAACTGACATCTGTCTTCTTTTCATGTTTTCATGATCTCATGCACCACCTGAGACCATGCATGCACACGTTTTGCAGGACTTATGATCCTTCCACATGTCTGGGCAGGAGCTAGCAGATGAAATGGAGGGGCCCCGGGGCCTCCACTTGCCCTCAGCTGAGCTAACAGCCCCTGATCCTCCCTGCAGTGGGTCCCTCGGAAGCAGAGTGGTAATAAACGGGCTCACTTCTTTCTTCCATGGAAACTCTGGAGAAGAAAGGCCAAAGCTGGGCCCACTGCAAAGTTGAATGTGGCCCTCCTTCCCTTGGTGTTCATTCTTACATGATTTTAAAACATGGAAGCAGGGCCATCTAGTCATGGTGAGTTCCTCCTGTTCAGGCACATGGCTGGACCCCTCTCTGTACCTGCTGGGATCAGGACAGGAATGCCAGGCCAAGAGGGAGACACAATTGGACTGCTATTTTTTTTTCCTGGTGCTGGGGATGGAAGCCAGGGCCTGCCAGGCAAGGCTTCTACCACCAAGCGGTACCCCCAATGCCTGGGCTGCTGCTTTTTAATTCTTTCCCCTACCCACCATGAGAAAGGTGATGTCCTAAGGGTCCCTTGCACAGGCCAGTGGGTCCAAAATCCACAGTGTATGTGTGATCTTTTCATGGGGCTGGCAGTGCCAACTCCCTAGCTGGGTGTCAGTCATTCTGACTGAGTTTCCCCCCAGGGAAATGTGTCCCATCACACAACAGCCTCAAGATCCAGGGCCACCCGGGGCACATGTGCCTATCCTCAGCACCTCATGCCCTGACACACGCACACACACACTTTATCTTCTTTTTCTTTCTTCCTCACCCTGGCCTGAACTCCAAAAAATCTGACTTGTCCTCAGACGCCAAGACAGATGTTTTTATTTGTAAAATGGGATCACCATGACTGGGGGTGTTTTCTTGCCTGTTGAGTAAGGGCAGGGGAGTTGCCGGGGGCTGGAGCAGTGGGAAGACAATAAATAGTCACCGATATGCAGGATGCAAGAGAGGAATGCAGCCCTGTGTTTTTCTGGGACTCCAACTTAGTTCCCTAACATTTCCCTTTGCTTTCAGTCATTGAATAATTGAATTTAAACAACCTCCCTCCTTCCCCCCAAAAAGTGCCATCTAACTGCAGCTCTGAAGGGCATTCCATGCATCCTTGGAGGAAGGAATTTATAAATATTACCTCCAGTTTCATGGGGCTCCCTCATAAATCAGGATTCAGGGCTCCTGCCCTCCCAAACTATATAAAGCATGCTTCTGACTCCCACGTTTCCACTTTTAAATCAACCTCAGCCCATCCCCGGCGGCTCCTGTTTTTCCTTACAGATTCCAGGGGCCTGTTCAAAGGCTCCCAGAGCCAGTCAGCTAAAAAATGATCCAAGGTTCCCACTGGAGAAATGTAACATCAAAACTCACATGTGGGCTAAGACTGCAAATGAAGTAGTAGGGAATTTGTGCTGTTTCTCCAAAAGGAAGGAAGGAAGGACGGAAGGAAGGAAGGAAGGAAGGAAGGAAGGAAGGAAGGAAGGAAGGAAGTCTCTGAGAAAGGTCTGGGCCCAACCCACATACCAACCTCCCTATCACCTTCATTCTGGTGGCTGTTTCTATAGCAACAGGTCCTTAGATTAGGAGTCTGGCCTGAGCAAGGGAAGACAAGGGAGCTGGGCCTGGAGTCACCATGAAGAAGTCCCCTGAGATCCTCTCACCATTTACAAGGCTGAGTGCTGGGTGCTAGGTGCTAGGTGAGATGGAGCACCTTCCTCAAAGTTCAGGGAAGGTTGAGATAGACCTGGGAATGAGGGTCTCCATAGCCAGAGGATAACAATCAGTGTTTCCTAAACATCCTCTCCAAGTCCTTCCCCTCTTTTGTGCACTCACAACTACCCAGGAAGGGAAAGAATCAGGGTACTTGCTACACAGGGAGGAATTCCTGAAGGCTAGCCATAGGTGGGTCCAGATCATTCTGCATGGTGCCCAAGACTGCCCTGCACACCTGGAGGGAGCTTGACTCCAAGGACCAGTCCCAGGAGACCAACCGCAGGCAGCCCCACAGCCCATGGGTGAAGCTCACCTCCCATAGTCACCAGTTGGTCTCATCTACAGCCCACTGTGACCTTAAGACTCTGGTCTAAAGGTCTCCCACAAGAGAAGCTGAACCCTCACTGGGGTACACTAACATGGAATGCTTACTACAAGTTGCATTTGCTCATTTAATACTCAAAACAAATTCACCTGGCAGCTACCTTTATTAACTCACATTAGAGACAAGTACACCTGGCAGCTACTTTTATTAACTCACATTAGAGAAGAGAAGATTAAGAATTCAGGATTTTAAATAAACCTCCCAAACTCATACATCTAATAGAGTTCCACCCTGCATC